TGGAGAGAAGGTGGAGGAGGCTCGACTCGAAATCGTCCTAGGCTTTCTCCCTCCCGCGCCGGCGTCCAGGACAAAAAGAATGTGCTTTTGCTTGCGCTTCCCGGGCGGACCACGTTGCTCTGTTGACAGTTGACACGAGGCAACTCGCCGCCCGATCCTCACTCGTCGCTCCTCCTCGATGTTGCGCAGGGTCCTCGCCGGAGCGATCACGCGCCTCTCCGGCCCCGGATTCTCCAGCCCACCGCCGAGGAGACGGCCTCTCCTCCCGCCCAACGCCCCGCGCCTCTCCACCGCGCGGGTGCCGTCCGGCGGCGGCGAGGGCAGCGAGGGGGAGGATGACGACGACCCGTTCTCCTTCCCGGACCAGCAGCAGCTCCCGCCGGACGTGGCGCGGGGCGTGGACGCCGTCGTCGCGGCGGCCGAGGGCGCCCACTTGGACGCCGCGCGCGCCGGGGCCCTCCTGGAGCAATGCGGCGCCGCGGCTTCCGAGACGCTCGTGGTGGCCGCGCTCTCGCGCCTCCGCAACAGCTGGGCCGCCGCGCACGCCGCGTTCCGGTGGGCGGCCTCGCGGGGGCGGCCGCAGCCCGGGTACGCCCCGGGGCGCCACGCGTGCCACTCCATGCTCGCCATCCTCGCCAGGCACCACCGCTTCGACGACGCCCGCGCCCTGCTCGACGAAATGCGCCGCAGGTCGCTCGCGTCGCCGAGGGCGGTGCTCCTCCTAATCCGGCGCTACTGCGCCGCGCGTGACGTTGCTAGCGCGATCGCCGCGTTCCGCTCGCTCCCGAGCTTCGGCATTGAGCCCGGGGTCACCCAGTTCCATGGCCTCCTCAGCGCCCTCTGCCGGTACAAGAACGTCAAGGACGCGGAGCACCTGCTTCTGTCGAGCGGGAAGGAGTTCCCGTTCGAGACCAAGGGCTTCAACATCGTGCTCAACGGCTGGTGCAACATGGTCTGCAGCACGCGGGAGGCCAAGAGGTTTTGGGTCGTCATGGAGCTCAGGGGCATCGCGAGGGACGTTGTGTCTTATGGGAGCATGATCTCGTGCTTCTCGAAGGCCGGGAGCTTGGACTCGGTCATGAAGCTCTTTAACCGCATGAAGGAGGCTGGCATTGTGCCTGACCGGAAGGTGTACAATGCAGTTGTGCACGCGCTCGCCAAGGGACGGTGCGTGGATGAGGCAAGAGCGCTCGTCCGGAGTATGGAGGAGAAGGGGGTTGCACCAGACACGGCCACTTACAACTCCCTCATTCGGCCTCTTTGCAAGGCTCGTCAGGTCCAGGAGGCAAGGGAGATGTTTGATGAGATGGTAGGAAGGGGGCTGTTGGCATCGGTGAGGACATTCCATGCATTGTTCGATGTTGCTACAAGCCCCACTGAGGTCTTTGATCTGTTGGACAAGATGAAGGCACTACATTGCAAGCCAGAGATGGACACTTATATTATGTTGATCCGGAAGTTCTGCAGGTGGAAGCAGCACGACAGTGTGGAGAAACTGTGGAACGCAATGCCTGCAAACGGACTGACCCCTGATCGGAGTGCATACATCGTGTTCATACATGGATTGTTCCTGAATGGGAAGCTAGAGGAGGCTGCAAAGTATTTTGAGGAGATGAAAGTCAAGGGATTTTCACCAGAGGAGAAGACTGAATCAATGATACAGGCGTGGCGTTCAGGCAGAGAGCTTGCCAAGGCATCGGCTTCTGTCGGTTCAAAACATGGTTCTGTGTCTCTCAAAGTAACTCGTAGAGAGTGGTAAAGATGAAGAGCACTTGAAAGTGATCTATAGAAAGAAACACAGCTGTTGTTTTCGAGTAACTGCTAGACACTGGAGAGAGATTATTTGGTTATTCAGAAAGATGAGTCTGATTACTTTCAAGTGATCTTCATCTACTTTGTTGTGGTTGGTTTGGTCAAGGAAGCCACGCTCGCAAGGGCCCTTGCTTTCGTTAGAGTTATTGTCAGCGATGACCTCAGCTGAGGGTATGCTGTTTGGTTTCCTTTGTTCCAGTCTGTAATCAAACTTTGTTCCTTCTAACAAGAAGGCGCAGAGCTCCTACCGTATTTGAAAAGAGTATGTTTACCCAGTTATTTTCGTTCTCACTAGATTGCTTGGCTGTAGATTGGAATTAGAAAGTGCAACCTAGGGTTTGTCCTTTTGAAACTTGGATAGGCATCACTTTGCTATGACCCTTCTTTTGTAGCTCATAGTTTGTACTGGGTACATGTTCAATGATTGGTTCACAACATATAATGACTGTCCACTATATTCATACTGGTCCGACTCCTATACTTTCACATAATAATATGTGCAGAGATTTTACAAAATAGTGAGAGCTCATTTCATATGGTTTGATACTAGTACTAAATACACACTTCAATATGTAGCTGTATTCAATATTAGCAGTTCCATTTTCATGCTTCCATTGTTTGCAGAGTGTACTGGCATATTTATTCACATATAACCATTTAGTGACCACTCATCGCACTGCAGAATTGGCCGCTGTGTGAAGGTTTAGGTCATATAATTTTCTTCTTGACAAACATATTGTTTTCTTTCTGCCAGCCAGCCATTGCAACCTTTCTGATAGCATTAATTCAGTGCATGTGCACACTAAATAGTCCAGCTACAAGAGCACATTGGATCGAAGCTGGGGCGGGTTGCCGCCAGCCTGCTTGTAATCAATGAATCTGTTGATTCTGAGGTGAGCGTCTACCAGAATTCCAGTTATATCTGATCAGTTAGGCGTTATTTTCTCTGCTATCCTGTGGCTTCAGTTAGGCCTAGTAGCTAGTGGATTCGATCATACCGACGATAAATATTGTACGCGTCAAAAATTTATCTTCGCATGTGATGTTTCAAGACCTTTCTGTAATATCCTGTAGGATATCCCTGCTAACAGCAAGTAGCTTGTTCTGTCAGTTGTCGCTACATATATCCTGATCTCTGTTATGCAAGTCCAGTCTCCAAAAGATGGTGTTGATGCAAGTTGCTTTAAATTTTGTTGATAAGACGATGACAGGTAATGGATACAGTTATGGTGAAAACAACTTATTTTCTCTGTACAAGCTACAGCCAACTGAGCCATGCTTGTCATGCTAGTGTCCACTGTCAATTTCATGGCATCTTATGGCTGCTAGCCTGCAAGTGTCGCTAACTCATATGACTCGTGATGCAGACTAACATAGTGCATGATCACGTCCCAACTTTAACCGATAGCTGCGTGGTCGACAACCAGTTGCAGTCTGCCTGTTCATGTATGCACTGAATGTTACCATTATGCTGTTAATATCTGAACCCACTGTAACCAAATTCGGATAAACACCAAATATTCTTTTTTAAATAATTGGAAGAGGTGAAAAATGAAATATCAGCTGTGAAATAATCATATATTACCTCCGTCCCAAATTACCTGTCTTAGATTTTTGTAGATACAGCTAACACTAAAACTGTCTAGATACATCCAAGACAAGTAATACTGGACGGAGGGAATATGTGTTTCAGATTTGTTTCAGATTGATCAAGGGTCAGAAGAATAAGTTTGGTGTTTAGACTTGAGATTATTTTGAGAACAAAATCACATGTTTGTTCAGAATACCAAATTTATAGATCGAAACCAAAGAATAAATACTGCTACAAGCTTACCACCACATCTTCAGAATCATGCCTGGGAAATTTCTACCTCTTTCTAGTTCAACAAAGTAAGTATTTGTCTAATCACTTCTATTTCCAATAATTTACACCATATCTTATTCCATCTCAGAATGGTGGCAAGATTGTTTGCCACATCGGCCTCATCATCTGCGGCGAGCTCATCGGCTGCAGGTAGCCGCTGCCGTTCTGCCCAGGCATCGTTGTTGGGTTCACCATCTGCCCCATGTTCATATAACAAGTCTGCAGGTCGTCCATACTCAGGCCGGTGAACCAGTCGCTGTCCTCCTTCACCGTCACCATCCTCGCCTGCTGCTGCGCCATGTCCATGAAACCATGCTGCTGCAGGCCGGAGGCGCTGTCGATCTCGGAGGAGTCGTGCGTCTGGAAGCTGTCGGACATGGCGTCGGTCGCCAGCGCGTCCATGACCTCCCCGTTCGGCCCGGCCTCCACAGCCATGTCCTGCTCCACCTTGAGCTTCTCCCAGTTGTTCTTCTTGTTGTACAGCCGGCACAGCACCCATTCGTCCAGCTGTAATAGCCGCACATCACAGAGAGAGAAGGATCAGTATTCAGTATCGATTGATTGATCAGTATTGTTGGTGAGCAAAGTGCAAACTGAAAGGAAGACGCTGGGGTTACCTTGAGGGATCCCTTCTTGCCGGGTGCGCGGTCGGCTTCGGCGATGCGGTACTCGTGCATGATCCAGTCGGTCTTGACGCCCCTGGGCGCCCTGCCGGAGTAGAAGACGAGCGCTTTCTTGATGCCGACCGTCCTGCCGCCGCTCTCCCTGGGCGCCACCGGCTTGTCGGCGCCCGTGGCCTTCCAGTAGCCGGTGCCGGCGGAGCGGTTGGGGCGCGAGCCGTTGGGGTACTTGCGGTCGCGCGGCGTGAAGAAGTACCACTCCCTGCTCCCGAACAGCGCCCTCTCTGCACGAACGCCAAGGTCAGCACAGCACACACTGAAGGAGCAAGAACGAGGAAGCCAAGAAGGAGGAAGGAGGAGAGGAAAAAACAGGGGAGGGGAGGGGAGAGAGGAGGAAGAGAAGGCGCACCGGGCAGATCCCAGGGGTTGAACTTGTAGAGATCGACCTCGGCGATGATGGGCACGGGCTGCGGCTGGCCGGCCACCTTCCTGCAGAGGTAGTGCACGACGAGCTCGTCGTCCGTGGGGTGGAACCGGAAGCCCGGCGGCAGGTTGAGCTCCGCCTCCGCGTCCCTCCGCCCGCTGCTCCCCTCCGCCCCCGCCGCCGCCCCCGTCGGCTCAGCCTTCACCATTGCCGTCATCATCCTCCTCCTCCTCGCGTTCGCTCGCTCGCTCGCTCGCTCCACCACCTTGGAGAAAAGCCCAGCCCTCGCGCGGTGGTGCCGCGGTGTTGGAAGGGAAGAGAAAGGCGGCTGGTTGTGATACCGCCTCCTGGGACCTGGAGCCCTTCTCTTTAGTCGATGGCTCGTTTCCTTGGCGACCAAGTACGTTTGTAGGGCGGGGCGCCCGGGGCGGCTATATACGGGCCCCCGCCCGCGCCACGTGGGCCGCGGCGGGCCCGCGCGTGCCCCCGAGCTGCTCGTGGCGTGGGCTTGGATGAGGACGGCCGGCCGTGCGCTGCTGCGCGGAAGTTTCCCGCGGCGACAAGAGTTTGACCCCTCCCGACGGCTGCGCTGAAAGGGACGGAAGGGTCAAAAGCGCGCGGGAGGGATTTTCCGGCGGGAAAATATATCCCCGCGACCAGCCTCGGCGGCCCGTCGAATGGCCGCGCGTCTAGGTGCGTCGGCAGGCGCGGGCTGGTCCTCCGTGTTCTCGACCTCTCATCTGCTGCATTGCACCACGTGCGAGTTGCGGCGGCCATGCACTACTATGTCGTGATACGTGGAGGAAGGTATGAGGACATGAGGTTACGACCCGCGCATGCGCATGGCATGCCTGCATGCGTGAAGGTTTTCTTTCCATCGCGCCTTGGATTTTTCTCCGGGGAAAACTTTTAAAAGTTGAGGGATCACGCTAAGCTAGAATGCTACGTGACCCTTCAAAGATGCCATTGTTTAGTTTCGGCCTATAAACGTGGATACATGACCACGTCAAGTCCTACTCTCTGTGTATAGAAGAAAATAAACGTGGATGCAATTTTTTTCTAAAAATTAAGACATTAATCCAGGCGGTCTATATTAATGTCTATATTAAACTATATTGAAACGAGTAACACATACACTAAAGCATGTCTATGTACATTTAATTCAGAAAAAAAGTTACAACATCTTATATTCATGAACGAAGGAAGTACATATGTCATTTTTTTCTTTTTTTTTGCGGGAAAAACTTTCAATCTATTTATCTTCAATCATGGTAATACAACGAACACTAGAAATAATAAAAATTACATCAAGGTCCGTAGACCACCTAGCGACGACTACAAGCACTGAAGCGAGCTGAAGGCGCGCCGCTGTCATCGCCCCTCCCTTGCCGGAGCCGGGCAGACGTTGTTGTAGTAGACAGTCGGGAAGTCGTCATGCTAAGACCCCATAGAACCAACGCACCAGAACAGCAAACCGCCGCAGATGAAGAGTGTAGATCAAAGGATCCACCCTAAAGATACACGAACGAAGACGAACGACGAACAGATCCGAGCAAATATATCCACCAAAGATAGATCTGCCGGAGACACACCTCCATAGGCCCATCAATGATGCTAGACAACTCACCGGAACGGAGGCTAGGCGGGGAGACCTTTATTCTATCTTCAGGGAGCCGCAGCCGTCTCGCTTTCATGAATAGGACGCAAACCCTAATAAAACTCAAAAAAAGATCTAAAAACGGAGCCCTCTCACCGGCAAAGGCCGAGATCCACTCCATCTCCATGGCCTAAGGCCACCGGAGACGGGGCGGACCGGCGCCGGCGCCGGCGGGAGGCAGAGAACCCTAACTTTTTGAAGGCGGCGGCTGGCTAGGAAGACCGTGGCTCAATCCTGGACCACTTTTTATTTCTGCGAAAGGAAATAATTCACAACTAAATGGGAAGTACATATGACATTTCAATTGCGTCCAACATGGATTATCACCGTCCTACGGGCCAACATAGTTAATTCCCATGTCGGCCACGGAAGGATATGCTTGAAACATTATCTATCTTCACAATTCATAATTCTCAAGTCGATCCACAGAACAGAAGGATATGCTTGAAACATTATCTATCTTCACAGTTCAAAATTCTCATGCCGATCCACAGAAGAACAGAAGGATATGCTTGGAACATCACAACATTTAAACAATTCAAGTTCCCCAAAAAGGAAATTTTAAACAATTCGAGAGGATAATGCTCAAGCTTGGCCTGTTCATACCGAAGCATACCACATACTCCTACCTAGTACCGCCATCTGTTTACCTAGTCAGGGACACCTAGAGAGACAGAGTAGGTCTATCTCCTCTTGTCTGTATAGTACAGTAAAATAAAGAAATCTGGCCCAATCTGCACGTGCCTCCCTCCTCCTGGATGGCCACCTACGTGCACTGAACCTGAACCTCACCCGGGCGCGCCTCCAGCCGCGACGGCGGGGGTGGGGTGGCGAGCAAATCCTCGACCCGGGCCACCCGGCGGAGGTGCGGTTGGTCGGCCAGCCGTATGGCAGATAAAAGAAAAAGGATAGCGCCTTGTCGGCGGCCGAGGTTTCTCATTCCCCCGGCGGTGGACTATGGTATGAAATTCCAGCCGAAAAGGACGGACGGGCGGGCAGTTCCGGGGAAAGCGATGGACTTTTTGTCGTGGTGACAGTGAGCTTACGTTTTCCCATGGGCCAAAACTGGATTGGGCTGGGGATTTTCTTCAGTTTAATTTACAAGATTGCTGTGTTGATTCGCTGTCAGGTTACCGCTCTTGGTATCGCACAGCTGGTGACTGCCGGGATTAGCTGTGATCCGGTGAGTGGCATGTCGCGTTGCATACATCACTGGCCGCGTCTCGGCTATCGGAATGACGGGGAGCACTCGAGATATTATTATCCGCCGATACTTTGGTGGGCCCTTGATGGATTTCTGTGGAAGCTTTGTTTCTGTCCTGTTCCGTAAACTATTGCGGAGATTGAAATTAAGACATGTGGGAGGAGGTGTGTGGGCAAGTTAACTGCAATTGGGCATCGCAGTTGATTTTACATGTGGTGTGCTTTTAGAAAATGAAAACTAAGTTACCACCAGCTTGCCAAACAGGGGAGTATCCAAACTCCACACCACAGCCAGCAGTGTCGACGTTGGGGCTATGGAGCCAGTCCTGTCAGCGCCTCAGGCAGCGCCATAGATGATCAGGAAGCAGCGACAACAGGCGAAGACCCCGTTCATCGTCCGACAAGCAGACGAAGGGCGGCAGAGTTCAAATCATCTCGTGGGCCTGCGGCACGGCCCACTCGAGTGAAGACGAAGCCCATCTGGAACGTCGGCCCGGAATGGACGTCCTAGTTTAAATACCCCTTGTAACGTTTGAATCGAGTTGGCTTGGATCGGACGGCGGCTTCGGCCGATTGTAACTAGCTGTAGCAGTGAGGGAGGTTGGGAGGATAAACACGCTACCGAATTTCCCCATTTCGCCATGAACTCTAGTTTCCTCTCATAGATCGATCGCGACCCTTACACTTGGTATCAGATTCGGCGGTCCTGGCGCTTCCCCAACATCACCACGAGACGCGGTGCACCAGTTCAGCCACGCGCCATGGAGCCACCTCGTGTAAATACAGCTCCTCCTCGTTATGTGTCAACACCTCCGGGTCACTTCTCCAACCCCCTGGAAAACCTCATCGCGGCATCGGCTCGTTTGGCGGCTCTCCCAATGGAAGGCGACTCGCCAGCAGCAATTGAAACCCGAAGGGTGAGAGAACTGTTGGGGAACGTAGCCGAAATTCAAAATTTTCTACGCATCACCAAGATCAATCTATGGAGAAGTCTACCAACGAGGGAAGGAGAGTGCATCTACATACCCTTGTAGATCGCTACGCGGAAGCGTTCAAGAGAACGGGGTTGATGGAGTCGTACTCGTCGTGATCCAAATCACCGATGATCCTAGTGCCGAACGGACGGTACCTCCGTGTTCAACACACGTACAGCCCGGTGACGTCTCACATGCCTTGATCCAGCAAGGAGAGAGGGAGAGGTTGAGGAAGACTCCATCCAGCAGCAGCACAATGGCGTGGTGGTGGTGGAGGAGCGTGGCACTCTAGCAGGGCTTCGCCAAGCACTGCAAGAGACGAGGAGGGAGAGGGGTAGGGCTGCGCCAAGAAGGAGAGGAACTCGTGTGTGTTGGGCAGCCCAAACCTCAAGTATATATAGGGGAAGGGGAGGGGCTGCGCCCCCACCTAGGGTTCCCTCCCTAGGGGTGGCGGCAGCCCCCAGATCCCATCTGGGTGGCGGCCACAAGGGGGAGAGGGGGAGGCGCACCTGGGGTGGGCCTTGGGGCCCATCTGCCCTAGGGTTTGCCCCCTTTCCCTCTTGGAGGCGCCTTGGGCCTTGGTGGGAGGTGCCCCAGCCCACCTAGGGGCTGGTCCCTTCCCACTATTGGCCCATGTAGGCCTCCGGGGCTGGTGGCCCCACTTGGTGGACCCCTGAGACCCTCCCGGTGGTCCCGGTACGTTACCGATGAACCCCGAAAGTTTTCCGGTGACCAAAATAGGACTTCCCATATATAAATCTTTACCTTCGGACCATTCCGGAACTCCTCGTGATGTCCGAGATCTCATCCGGGACTCCGAACAACATTCGGTAACCACGTATATCTATTCCCTATAACCCTAGCGTCATCGAACCTTAAGTGTGTAGACCCTACGTGTTCGGGAAACATGCAGACATGACCGAGACACCTCTTCGGTCAATAACCAACAGCGGGATCTGGATACCCATGTTGGTTCCCACATGTTCCACGATGATCTCATCGGATGAACCACGATGTCGAGGATTCGATCAATCCCGTATACAATTCCCTTTGTCTAGCGGTATTGTACTTGCCCGAGATTCGATCGTCGGTATCCCAATACCTTGTTCAATCTCGTTACCGGCAAGTCTCTTTACTCGTTCCATAACACATCATCCCGTGATCAACTCCTTGATCACATTGTGCACATTATGATGATGTCCTACCGAGTGGGCCCAGAGATACCTCTCCGTCACACGGAGTGACAAATCCCAGTCTCGATTCGTGCCAACCCAACAGACACTTTCGGAGATACCTGTAGTGTACCTTTATAGCCACCCAGTTACGTTGTGACGTTTGGCACACCCAAAGTATTCCTACGGTATCCGGAAGTTGCACAATCTCATG